CATGTAGATGTGTTCAGGGCACGACTCTTATCAAACACGTGAAGTTTTGTTGACATCGGATCATGTACACTGAAGAAATGACAACTTCCTTTTTCATAGCAAATCGTCAAAATTGGACGCCACACCACGGGCCGGATGGAATGTTGTAAATTGCACTACTTTTAATCAGGAATGTCTTTAGATTGCGCTGATTAAATTTAAAGGTGAGCAGATAAATTCTCTAGGAGGAGTTTGTTCAAATACAATGTGTGCAAATTGCCAAAAATGACCACGGAAGTCAAATTGGCCGACTTCATGTTGTGTTTGGGTTATGGGTCCAAGAGGCTTTTTTGGTTGTCTGATCATGATACACATGCGTGCCAATTTTCGTACATGTCAGTCTTACGTGTTTTGGGGGCTGATTCTGGGGGGTGCCCATGTATGGGACCAAGACAATAGGTTAGCCCCCCAAAAAGTGTTCAAATGTTAACACAAAAGCTGATTTTCACCGCGTCGCCATGGCAACATGGTTCTTCGAAAATTCTTAAGATTCATAAGATATCATCATCATCGTCCTAAGAAACTTCTGACTTAATTTCAGCTGGATCTGGTCAATCTGCTGGAAGATATAAATAAAAGTATAAAAATGACATTTCCTTTCACCACTAGGTGGCGCTCTCACTATCAGTGAATATTATCACATAGATGTGTTCAGGGCGGGACTCTTATCAAGACAAGTGAAGTTTGGAGCCGAATGAATGGAGCAGGTACACTGCAGTTATAGCAATCTGTGTGTTCTGGCGGATACAATCACAATTTGACCCACCGCACGGACACGCCCTATCACAAGTCACCAAAATCATAAAATATCATCAACTTATCATACTGGCAGGTCATCACTGGAGAACGTAAGGTCGCTGGCAGATAAAGTGGACGAACTGGAGTCACCAGGACCAAGGGAATACCGCGAGTGTAGTATCATGTGTTTCATGGAAACGTGGCTACAATGAGCAGTACCGGACTTCCAGTGGTTATCAATACGCGAACATACTTTCCGACAGTTTGAGCCGACAGGGGAGCACAACGCGACTACATAGGTAGGCTGAATGCAGAGGAAAGGGGGGACTGACGAGCTCTGGCTGCATAATTGAACAACAGGATGAGATCGTTTATTTCACGGGGAATGCCGACGTCTGTGTGAACACAGCAATTCGTCGTGCGGCGCGCGGAACTGGGCGGCTTTGTTTGCCGTTTGATCCGTGTTGATACATGTTCTCACTGACACCGAAGGTATCATTCTGCACATTGGAAATTCTCTCCACAGTCAGATCGTCGCTTAAGCCAGGAGCCGAATCAAAGAGAGCTAAACACAGCATCGCGGGAGATGGAGCGAGCTACCAGAACAAATCCGGAGGAACACTGGAGAAAACAAACAACGGGACGTGTGGAGGATGGAGATGAAGAGAC